TGTCTCCCCCACCCCCACAGCCCCCCATGGCTCTCTCTTGGAGGTGGCCCTGCTCTGAGATTTAAAAAACAGATATGTATTTACTCTTACCAGCCAGCTGTCATTGTGATCCCACCTAGTTCTTAAAAGACCACCATGACTGACTCCACACAAACACCCCATGGGACTTGGTCCCTTGGTTTGGGGGGTTGGGGTCATGGTTTCATGGGGTATCCTCTGTCCTACCTCCCAGGTCACTGCGAGGCAGTGCCCGGGGTCCTAGAAGCCTGCCCGCAGCCATCACTCACTCACGGTGATTGGGCTCTGTCCACCGGGAGCAATGGAGGAAGGGAGTCAGGGGCAGGAGGAAGACACGGCCCGTGGGGGGGACTACCATGACCAACAACGGCCTCCCTTCTGCTATGACACCAGAGAGGCCAGATGGTGCCCGTCTGCTACTAACTGAGCAATTCGATCAGAGAGTCTATAGAAGAATTCTAACCAAGAGGAGGAAATGCAGGGCAGGATTTCCAATTCACGTAAATTCTAGACTTCCTGGAGCCGTGGAGGCTGGCTGAGCCCCTGCAACGACTGTCCTGAGATCAACCTGAAACCTCCCACCAAAAAAATCCCCGAAGTCAAACAGGAGTTTATCTTAAGCAAGAGAAGAGTGTCTGCCATGAGCCCTGTGCTTTTAAAAAAGAACTCTCTTGGTGGGTCAGGAGCCCTGGTGGCGTAGTGGTTATGCACTGGGCTGCTAATCCCAAGGACAGCTGTTCAAACCCTGTTCAAACCCACCAGCCACTCCACAGGAGAAAGATGAGGCTTTCTAGTCCCGTCAGGATGGACAGTTCCACGCTGTCCTGTCAGGTTGCTCCAAGTTGGATGAACTGAGCCCAGAAATCCGAATGACCGGAGAGGCACCTTCAAGGCTGCTGAGTTTATGGTCACGAGGGAGCCCCCACTCCGAGGCAGTGAGGGTGGCAGAGCAATTCTAAGCATCCTTCACCAAGGTCACTGGGTTGTGCCCGTAGAAACTGTTGAGTTGGCATTCTTTTCACAGCGTGTAATCTCAAGGACAAAAAGAGAAATAAAGCTTTGTGAAAAAAGTCTCACAGCCAAGGAGTCGGGTGTGACTGGCCTTGACCCTGCAGGGCAGACAGGCTGCCATGGGTTTCCCCTTCTCTTCGGCCACTGCTGGCCTTTTGGTGAGCGGCCCAGCTTGTGCCACCAGGGACGCGGAGGGGGAGCCCTGGTGCTGACAGGGTTGGGCTACGGTGATTGCGTGGTCGGCGGTGGGAAACGGCAGCAGCTCCAAGGGGGGAAGACGGGGCTTTCTGCTCCCATGAACAGTGAGTTTCAGAAACCCACGGGGGCTCCCTAGGAGTGCGCCCAGCTCGATGGCAGCGGGTTTGGTTTGGGTTTGATACCACCATGGCTCCATTCGATGGAATTCTGCGCCGTAGAGCTCCTCTGTGGTTTCTGAGACTGTAACTTGACCAGAGCTGCCAGCCTCATCTCTCCTTCTTGGAGCGGCTGGTGGTTTCTAACCGTTCACCTTGTAGTTAGCTGGCTCACTACGCCTCAAGGCCGGAGGGCACGCCAAAC